ACATCATTATAATATAATATAGATTTTATAATTTCTCAAAACTTAGTTTTAAATCCGCGCTGTAAGTTGGACTGGTATAGTCAAGTTGGCTTTAAAGCCGACGTTGTTAAAGCCAATAAAACGTCATAATGCAGGATTGGAATTTAACATATTCAGCAGCTACCAAAGATAATGATTTAAGTAATGGAAAGAATTCAAATGAAGATTTGGTTGCATCGCAAATGAAGAAGGCTAAATATGAAAACAAGGATGACCTGCGTCGCTTCCTTTCAGCTCCTATAGCATCCTGTAATAAATATTCAGATACGCTTTTGTGGTGGAAGGTATTTATTTTGTTGCTTTCATGCTAAATTTTGTTGTACTAGCTTTACTTTTTTACTTAAAATTTAGATATAGGATCACGAAGATGCTTACTCGAGTTTTAGCAAAGCTGCTAGAGACTATCTATCAGCTTCTGGTACAAGCGTACTTTTAGAGCGTGTATTTTCTTATGGTCCTGACTTACTTGTAAATAAGCGTAACCGTTTGATTGCTGATACAGTTCGTAAAATTCTGTCTTCAAGCTTGGCTTAAATTTAAAAAACACAATTATACCGAAAAGAAAATGAGAACTATTGCCGATGCTTTTATTGGGGATTCTGAAGATCTTAATTAAATGATATAATTGTGATTTCATTTATTTACGAGATACTAAAGAACTAAAATTAGACATTTTGTGGTCAATGACAGTTTTGCGTCTATAAGTCCTTAGATATGAACAAACGTTGACATTACATTTCAAGTTCATATCTAAAAACTTATAGACGCAAAACTGTCACTGACCATGAAATGTCTAATTTTAACTTTATTTTATTTTATTTTTTGAATAATACGGACTGCTGAATTCAGGTATTTATTTTAATTTTGGTTACAACTGGTTAGTTTTTAATTATATTGAGTTTTGTCATTTTATTTGAATCTAGCTACTACAAAGTTACAAATCACTGAATTTAACAAGGACTTTATTCTCCTTTATCTCTGTCTAAATCTGGGAGGACCGATCGAACTCCAAAAATGTCGCTGTTTTACGACGATTTGTGAGTCTGGATGCGTACAATATTGTTAGTACTGTATAGTGATGTGTTCATTTTTACTGCCATATTGATATCGCACGCACACATCGTAATAAATTTTCAAGAACATATACATCTTTTTTATTAGGCATCCAAACCTAATTTTATAAATTCATTGTTGCATATTGTTTGCTCTGCATATAATTCATAGTTCCGGTTGGAATCATTTTGTACCAACAAACTGCTAAATTTTTGTACGAAGCAAATATTAGCACATGCTGACAACTCTAGACCATATTGAACTAAGAAAAGGTAACAAAAATATAAATTTCTTAAATTTTTTCGTTCTCTATCAGCTGGAATTACATTGATGCCATTTGATGCCAATACTTTAATCGTGGAGGATTTTTAAATCTGTTGTTTTTAATTATGTTTATTTTGTTTTGAAAAATAATCACATTCGATCAATAAAACAGACGACTTAGGATTGCCTTAACGTTAGTAGCAGTTATATAGTAGCAGTTATGTGATAAGCGGATTATTTATAGTTAGTCGAATGTTTAATTCGCAATTCTCTATCTTTAAGGAGGTTCTCCAATCTTTTCACGTAATATAAAAATTTGATCAAATTTTGAGAATTGTTTGCGGATCGGATAGGCTGGTACCACTTTAAATTGGAAGGTTCGCTCTTCAAGGCGGGTGACTCTCCAATAAACGAATTCAGCAGTGATGTTGGTTCAAACGTTTATTAATTAAGTGCACAATGTCATTAAAACGAGGTGAGCGGTATAGCTAGGACTGGTAGTTGTCACACGCGGAATTACAAGCCGCTGGGAGTATCTGAAACTCTTACATGCGACAATGCAGAGACCGCAGATCTCTCGGTGACGTGAACGTTTACGAGACGGAAATCTTCAAGACGCCGATCACAATTTACAGGCGTTACATGAACGCAGGTTCGATTGAACTACAACCGAGTATCGAGATAGCGGAGTTCGCGAAACGAAAGCGGTAGGCAAGATCCACTATAGATCCGTACTCATCGGCGGCGAACTCTTCGATCGCGCGCGAAAAAATGTGATGCGCAAGAACTTGGTTTTTGAAAAACAGCGTATGGGGGTTGCGTGACATCCGGCGCGTCCGTGAGCGAGAGGCTCACACGGGGAAGTCACGCGGTACACGCGTGACTTCATCGCTCCGGGTGTGCTCACCACGGGCAAGGTACAAAACGCGGATGATGTTTGCGAACGCTACGCATGACGATGTTTGCGAACGCGGAATCCGGAACAAGAATAAATTTATAAAATTAATATTTAGGCGATTCCAAATTCTTTTAAATTTTTTAACCGTATAATTTTCTTTAAATAATTCTTTAAAATAGCTTAAATTTTTATAAAAAAGTTTTAAATAATTTTCTCAAAACAAAATATAAGAAAATTGAAAAGTTATATCTCCATCAGGGACCCGGACCGGACCGAAACCGAAACCGATAATCGGATCAAAATCGTTATTTTAGTTGGATTGAAACCGAAAACCGGACCGAAATATTGCACAGGTTAATGGACCGGACCAAAAACTTTTTTTCTGGTTTTCGGTCCATTTTTCGGTTCGGTTTTCAGTTCAGAAAAAGATATACGGTAACTGTACTTCCATCTTTCTTCCTAATCAAATCTCACGCTCGTTTGATCTATAATTCTTACTATGTCTATGGAATATTTCTACTTTATGTTCGGATTAAAATCTTATTAGAAAGCTACAACCGAGCAGAAGAGAATTTCAAGAAAAACTAATACATCTTGGAATTCTGACAAGAAAAAAGTATGACTCAACCAGAGTTGTACAAATTAATTAGCGATAATTGATTTGACATTACCAGCTACGCAAGTGAGTGTCGAACGGCTGTTCTCCTCGAGAAAAAAAATTCTACATATATATAATTATTTGCAAAATATGTCCATATATGATTCTTATTATTATTAATTTTGTATTAAAAAATAATTTTACAAAGGAAAAAAACATGGATATATTTTGCAATTATATATAATTATATGTGAAACTTTTTTTCCCGAGTCAGGATTAAAATTCGTGCTATTCCCGCTAAGAATAAACATCGATAAAATAATTCTGGAAAATTAACTATTGATTAAAGCAAACCAAATTTTCGTTAACAAAGATTTTATTCAATAGAGATAAATTGTTTAAAATATTCAACTTATATTTGTATTACTTTTTTTAAGCATAATACTTATCTTTTATAAATTTTACAATAAGTAATTATATGTATACCCGTAACCGTAACCATAAAAGACCGAAATTTAAACAGTTACGGTCACCGATATCGGCAAAAGAACTGAAACCGAAACTGAAACCGAAAATTGGGTACGCACGCACGCACGCGAGCACGCACACACACTGTTACCCATAATACAAAGTGACTGAACTGTGCATAATTGATATAAAAAATTGATTTGATCTGTGATACCATTATTATCGATAAATATAAATTAGCTACTGGTTTAACTATTAAAATGATACAAATATATTGCATACGTAATTGTAACAATTCCGCACAAGAAAAGTATTGTTTCTTTAGATTTCCTAAACTTCCTGAAAAGAAAGCAAAAATATGGGCAAAAAGGTACGATTTTTCATATAATGAAATTATTTCTTATCCACATTACAGGATTTGTAAAGTTAGTAGTTTAATTTGCTCTAAAATTATTTGCAATGATCAATATGCAAAACTTCTTTATAATAGGTATATAAATTTTAATAAAATATAGATATAAATTTTACCGGTATTCGAACAAAGTTGTACACGTCGCAATTAATTTTGTATGATCTACTTTATTTTTATCAAAATTTTGGGATCGTTTAAAATTTTTCAATTTAAAATAATTAACATTGCAGGATATAAACAATTTAGAAGCGATGCTATTTTCACTTGTTCACTTATTTTTGTTTATAAAGATAAATTAAATATACTGTTTATCCACGTAAATCTTTCTATGAATAAAAAACAATCTCAATATTACTGTTCGTTGTGAAAAATTCATTGAAAAGAGACGGATGAGGTATATACGTATTTACCAAGACTGAGATATTAAAAAAATAAGGTTAATGAATTAATAAGAAAAAACAAAGTATTACATGAAAAAACATGTAATGTTAATTTTGTGCAACTTTGTAAAAAAATAGTATTTGTACGCATATTTTCTTACATTTTAAGAATATACGTATTCATAAAATACTTGTGGAATTTAAAACATGCAGTTTTTTATTTTTTATATTTATTATAAAAGTATTGATAAATTTCATAAATATACTTTTGTCTACTTTTCTATTATATATTATATATTTTAAGTTTAAAAGTTTATTACAATTATTCCATCGTCCGTGATCCATTAAACCAAGATCCATTTTGTTAAAAAGATTTTCTTGAAGCTCTTTAAGATTGTTGGTGTTAGGAAATCGGCCAGCAATACCAGAAATAACGATTTCTTCAGCATCGCTGACATACAAATTCGGTCGATTCATAGTGTTTTTATCTTTTTTTTTAAGTAGATAAATTCTAGAACAGGACATCGTTATTTATTTTGTGAGAAACCAAATGTAAACGTAAAATATATAGAAAATCAAATTATCAATAATTATCAAGAATTATGTATACATACCAATAGAAAATAGTAGCAATTTAATAATAAAAATAACTGAAAAACAAAGTTAAAGCACAACTAGGTTGTGTATCACTGTTCTTCACTTTTATTGTTTCTGTATTATATAGCATTAAACTTCTACATACATTATTCTACATATATTATCCTTCTACATACATATTAATGTTGCAGTAGTGTCAAATGTTGAATATTACAATAACAGACGCTTTTGTTATGATACTTTTATGGAAATTGAGATAGATAGCTTGTTAATGTTTATTAAAAACATTTTATAAATAAATACAATAAACAAAGAAATTTATATGAGAATTTAATATTTTACATTTTTGTAGTTTTAATAAGTTATCGATACGTTATAAAATGATATAATTAAGAATATAAAATGATTACCAATAATAATAATACTAAAGATATAATTATATTACTCTATGTGTCTTTATGTAAATGTAGAAGAATCTATCAGTTTTTAATGAAAATATATTTTTTATACATCCTACTTATAAAAATAATTTTAAATTTAAACAAATATATAAAAAAATGAACAGAATATGTCAGTAAAGATTTTAGTAAAGAGGTGCAATATAATTTTAGTAAAGAGCTATTATATATATTCATAATAATTTCTCCTAATTTTATGTATGTATGTAGATCTTGTTATTCAAATCTTCTTCACTAAATGATGACAATTAATTAACTCATGAATTGATTGTTAAAATAAAAGAACATGTTTCGCACCAAATGCATGCGCTAACGATGAACGAGCTGCGAGACCGATTCATAGGCTGTAATTTAATTCATAGCGCTCACAAACATTTCTAAAAAGATTTATATTGATCCTCTTTCCCGCGTAAATGACATAAACGCTTACTGATTCACTTCCGGATCAATGTCACTGTGAGCACGCGAAATAAAAAATTCGTGATTTTGTTCACAAAAAATTCTTGTAAATCGGACGGACACACTGAGCACACTGTGAACGTAAATCAGATCGTGGCGATGTATGTATATGTATGTACATGTATTGTTGTAATAATTACGTGAATCGACCTTTAAGTTCAAGCAATCGGGTTGCTTTCTGAATGAAGATGCAAAGTATTCTTAGAATGACAAATCATTGTTGATCAACGGGATATGGGAATTCAGAGTTGATTTTGAATCGATTGAACGCGTGTTTCTCTGTATTTGAGTCACATAAAATTCTTGTTTCCATATCCTTTTTTTCCGTGCGTTTGAGTATCCAAGTGTGATTGCATACGCGCGCAAATGATTTTGGCGGACGTAATAATATACACGTGAGTCCCAATTGAAGTGAAGCCTGATTGTGCGCATTAACGATCGAACATGACAGTATTTCTCGAGTAGACATGAATCCGAATGAATATGGTCTTGATTATACACTGATTTAATTAGATGCAATCTCGATCGCACATGAATTCGAATGTATCCCAAATAGCAAAATGACGTCAAAACAACGACAAATTTTGGTCATAGAATGATCAGTGCGACGTCATAAATTGGACCTAAATTAATCGTCAGAGACCCGAAAATGACGTCAATATGTCACATTCATCGGACGTAATTTTCAGATATCATATTAATAGCAAAAAAAGACCAATATGTGACGTCAGTTTTGAATCTCGGATAGCATTTATTTATTAAAATTTTTTAAAAATCTGCATTAAAATTATTTTTGTTTTATATAAATTTAACTATATCCAATCTACTTTCTTAAAAAAAATTTATGTAGGGGAGTCTGAGGTTAGTTGTTACATGGGATAAATTATTACAGTTAGTTCTTTTAGTTGTCGCAGATGGCAGCATGCTTTTATAGGTTTTTATATGTGATCTTTATAATATTCTACAACTTTACTTAGTTTAGCCGTCATATTTAAACTCTAGAAAATGCTACGTATGTTTTCTCGATTTTCACTGTTGAAAATAAATATTTTATTGGATGAATTGTTTGTGTTATCATATACATATACAAAATAAAGATATGTGATTATCCGTTTGTATATATGTTTTAAGTACATTAGGATATAATAATACGTTTTAATCTATATGTGTATTGATTTTTGATATGTATTTTTTCGAATCAAAAATAGAGATTTGGGGCAAGTTGTTACACTTTGATCGAGGCAGGTAATAACAGTGTAACAATTTGGGACCCCATTTGGGATTAAAACCAACCAGCATACATCTAAAATAAATCTACAAAAGATCATTCTAATGACAATAAACGTAAAATTATCACTCTTGGGGACATAAAACC